CTGAGCTGTTCCCCCAAACCCTCCCCGCCAAAGGATACCGATCCAGCATCGCTGAGCACCTGCAGCACCAGGGTGATGGCCGTGCGCGGGTGCAGCACGCCCAGCACCACGGCCTCACACGTCTGGCGCAGCTGCTGCTCCCGGCTCCGCTCCAGCACCCCTGCAAACCACAGCATGCACGTGCCCCTGAGAAAGGCTGTTGTCTGATGATTGGTCTGTGCTTTCTAGCCTCCAGAACGGAGATTAAACCCACGGATCAGAGAGCAGCCAACGAGCTCTGAGTGATGTCGAGGTGATGGAAACACAAATTCCTGTTTGGTGGAACTGCCTTGTTAAGGTTTAGAGCTGGACACGTCTCAGTAATCTCAGCCCTGGGGGAGGGTATCACAGCTTGGGAGGAAGGATTTCCACTGGCAGTGGGCACAGGGAACGCAGAATTTATGGCCCGGCATCCGGCAGAACCCCCAAGATAAGAAAGGAACTAATAAAGACAATTTAGCACCTGGGCTGAAGCAGTTCCCACTGGATTCAGGGTGATTCCAGCAGGGGCAGGCTGTGACCACCAACCCAAGAAACACCCCAACCCAAAGGAAGAGAAACACTGAGCATGACCAACTAGCACGAGAAGCGAGAGAGTCATTAACCAACAGAATAGTAATTAACAAGAGAACTATGTAACCTATAGCCGATGAACATTAATGCCTTTGTTTGCTAAAATGTATAACACTGTATAAACAGTAACAAGTTCCAAAGTTCGCAGTGCTATATTTGCGGATTAGCTGCCCAGCAAACTGTAAATGAAGAGCTGTAAATAACTCCAACACCTCGGTTCCCTGTTTTGGGGGAGGGCCGGGGGTCCCACCTGGCAGCCCCACCTTGGGGCGCAGCAGCACCTCCAGCGCCGCCCGGTCCGGCAGCTCCTTGCTGAGCTTCGCCTCAGCGGGGCCGTAGAGCCCGGCCAGGACTGAGGTGTCACCTGCGGACAGGGAGAATGGGATGGAAGGGAAGGGATGGGGAGAGATAGGATGGGGAGGGGAGCCCCCAAGGAGAGCCGCGGAGGGCTGGGAAGGGCACGTGGGGAAACCCAGGAAGAGGAGCCCCGGGGAGCGGAGTCCCCAGAGCCTGCAGGACGGGCAGCCCCGGGAAACGGGGGAAGACCCTGCGGGAAGAGCTGGGAAGGGGAAATGGGGACCCCGGGAATGTGGCCCCACAGATCCCCCAGGAAGGAGAGCCCTGGGAGGGGTAGCCCCGGTGGTTCGGCCCCACAGACCCTGCAGGAAGGCGGCCGAGCCGTCGGGCCGCGAGAGCAGCCCCTGCTCGCAGGAGAAGGGCCGCAGGCAGCACTGCCCGCCCGGCTCCGCCACCGTCTCCATCATCTCCTCTTCCTCCTCCTCTTCCTCCGAACCTTCCGCTTCCGGGTCGTGGGCCAGCAGCCAATCAGCGCCTGCTGTCGCGACTGGGCCCCGCCCCCGCGGCATCGCGAGGGCGTTCGGGTCGCGCCTGGAGCCGGGGCTGGGCCAGGCGGGAAGGGCGGGATCGGACCCCTGTTCCCCCTCACACCGGAGCCAGCCCGGACCCGGGGGACGCGGGGGAAGGAACACCCAGCCCGGCCAGAGAGAGCCGCGAGCAGCACCCGAACCGCACCCTGGCGGGGCAAACCACGGCGGCGGCGGGTGCTGCTCTGCTGCTCTCCGTCATCTGCGGAAAATCCTCCTGGGAGCCTCGGCCGTGGTCCCACAGACAAGCCGAGGGTCCTGCCGGCTGCCCCGGCCGCGCTGGGACCCTGGGCTGGGGGAGGGGAACTGGGGAGACCCCCCGAGGGCTGCGGGGCAGGAAGGGGCTGGACACGGGGACATCGCTGAGCCTACGGAACGCGGGAATCTGCCAGTGGCATCACCTGTTACCTTCCGCTTTTATGTGAACATGTGGCACCCCCCGGGCAATAACAAGGTGATTCCTGGGGATATGGAGCCCAGTGGCAGCAGCAGGATCTACCCCCCCATCCTCGGTGGCCTGGATGGGCTAAAGGACAGTGCCAAACCTCCTTCTCCCTCCTGCAGCTGCTCCTCTTCAACCCCGTGATCCATCTGGGGATCCAGCCCCCAAGCCCTTCCCAACCCAAACTTTCTCCCACTGTCAGGCTGTGCCTGCCTTTTTCCCTGTCCCATTCCACATCCCACATGTGGGCAGCTGCCCAGACCATCCTTAAACCCCACAACCAGGCAGAGGCTGCTTCATCCTGAGGGGGAGCTGAGGACATCAGCCTTGGGCCTTTGGGTTTCTCTGCCCTCCTGGGGACTCCTGCACCATTCCCAGGTCCCTGCTTGGAAAGAACTGATGACTTCCCATAGTGGAAATGAAGATATGTCAGCAATGGATTTGACTGAAGGGATCTGAAAGGGGATGGGAAGCTCAGCTGGCAAAATGAGACACAAGAATCTTTCTGCCCACGAGAGCTTTGGCATCACCATGGCTCCACTCAGGATTTCCCTGGGAGGTGGTGTCGGGGCACTGGGGGTGTGAGAGCCTCAAAGACGGGAAAAGGGCCTCAGGAGAAGGGGGAGGAAGCAGCACTCAGAGACTGTGTCAAGGAAATTTATTTCCTTCTCTTTTTCCTCCTCCTGGGCCGCAAGGAACCGTGGCGGTCACGGGCCCTCCTCTTTCGGGGGTGCCGGTGCTGCCGGCGCTCATGGCCCCTGTCCTGGTCGGGAGTAGAGGGACCTGGAGTCTCTGTGGGCTCCTGGGCCACGTCCTGGGGCTGCTCCTGCTCAGCAGGGACGGGCACACATGGGGGGTGGCTGGGACTCCCAGGGAGGGCCTCTGATGTGCTGAGCTGGTCCTCTGGGCCCAACCCCACGGGGTCACAAGTGTCGGCCTGGCTGGGCCTGGGGGTACCCCCTGGGCTGTGGGTGGGGGTGCCCCCCGGGCTGGCAGTGGGGGTCCCCCCTGGTGAGGAGGAGCCGCTGGAGCTGGACACGGAGCTCCTGCCCCGGTCCCTGGCAGGTTGGGAGCTGTGCAGCTGCCAGGCCTCACCACACTGGCTCAGGGTGACATGGACCAGTCCGTGCACCAGTGGGGCCGTGTATTCCCCCAGGTAGTTCTGCAGTATCTGGGCCAGCGCGTCCCTGTGGGGGCCGTAGATGCAGAGGGCGGAGAGGGCGATGCTCTCCACCTCGCGGGCCTCCCACCAGCGCGGGCCGTGGATCGCCTCCAGGACTGCTACTGCCGCCAGCCAACGGCCGCACCGGGTTCCAGCAGATGCCTCCTGCCCGTGCCAGCCAGCTCCCCAGAGCTCGTCGCGGAGCGCCCGCGTGGGCCGCGGGCGCAGGACTCCGGGGGGCAGCGGCCAGGGGCAGTCTCGACAGGCGGAAACTGAGCCCTCCCATGCCCCGGCGAGCGCCCCGGCGGCGAGGACATGCCCACTGAGGAAATCGTCGTCGCCGAGCACGGAGAACGGGCGGCGATGACGGGGCTGCGGCAGCGGGGGCAGCGGGTCCGCGGCCGGCCCCGCAGGAGGCACCCATGCAGAAAACGCGTGTCCGCCCAGGCACGCCAGGCGTCGCCAGCCTCACGCTGGGTGACACAGCCCGGGCAGTCCCACTTTCCGGTCTGCGTGCCCGGCTCGCCGCCCGGCGGGTCGGCAGCGCCCGGACGGGCGGGGCCCATCGCGGGCACCGGCCTGCCGGGCCGGGCGGGCGCTGCACTTAACGGTCCCGAAGGGCTCTTCCGACCCTGGCGATTCTGTGGCGCTTCCCAAGGGTGTCGGGCACTGCACGGTGGAACGGGACCATGGTCAGAGGCTGTCCCGGGGCGGGGAGGACGCAATGCCCAGGCCCCTCCAGGACACCCTCCCCACTCCCCGAGCCCAGCGCACACCCCATGCACAGACACCCGCGAGGAGTTTCCCCACAGCCTCACCTTCCCTGCTGCAAACAGCCGCAGTGTCCGGCTGCCCAAACCAGACAGGGCTGAGCAAACACAGGGAATGGCCCCAGAGGAGTCACCGAGCTGCCAGGGGAGCCCCCGAGGCACCACCAACCCCGGGAGAAGCCTCGCTCAACCCTCCAGACTTCGCAGTCCCACTCAGGAGTCCAGGCTCAAGCCACAGTGTCCCGGGCTCTGCTGGGCCCAAACACAGTCGGGGAGGGGGGTGACATCACAACACCTCCCCCGGTGGGGTCACAACGGGCCGCTTGGGATGTCACCTTCTGCCAGCAGGTGATGTCACAACGCGACATCCCCTCCCACCCCGGGCACGTGGAATCGGGCGAAAAGAAAGGAAATACTGTTTCCTGTGTTTTAACGTCTACATTTCCGTGCTGCTCTCCATCACCCACATCCATGTCCGTGTTCCTGTCCCCGCTCTCCCGGGACGCAGAGCTCGGTGGGAGCTGCCAGCACCGAGGGCAGCACATCCTCTGCACCAAACCCCCCCAGCCGCACCCGGACACTGAGTGCAGGGTGAGCTCCAGCGCGAGCCGCGGGGGCTCCCCAAAGGCTGCCATGGCTGTTCAAATGCTCTGACCACACCAAGAGGGCCCACGTATCTGTCCTTTGTGGGATGCTCCTAAATCACCCCTATCCAAAGGACAGACCTTCTTTCCCTACCACGTAATTGGGACACTGCTGAGGAACCGAAATGGACCCTGGAGAGAGGTAAGAGGGTGGGCTGCAGCACTGACATGTTCCCAGCACTGCCCTCTGCCTCACCTGGAGCTGAGGGGATGGTAACTGGGCACTGCTTTGACGGGGCACTCACCAGCACAGCAAGAAATTGGGGCTTCAAAGAGAATAATGCTCTCTTTGTGTGTGTGGTGTTTTCATGTGAAACAGGTTTTATGTAATTACTGTATAGTCGCACAGCCCAGTCTCTGCCATTACAGGGTGTAATTTGCCAGGTGAGGACTGAATTTGGCCCTACCAAGGGCAAGGCCAACGGGAAACAGCTGATGTGAAAGTAACTGTTAATACCTGGCACTACAGTAAGGAAAACTGAAAAGACACAACGAAGGAGCTTGGGGCTGTGCCTGCAAAACAAAAGACAGTATTTCCTGCCTTATTGTCATTTGCACTGGAGGCACCCCAGAAACAGCCCATCCAAAGCACCGTGGAGAGGAAGAACAGTGCTGATGGGCATCAACAACCAAAGACATTTTGACTTTGCAGCAATGAGCTGCAACAGAATTTTAGAACTAGGAGGGAAATTTCTCTCTTCAAAATTAAACAGCTGTAGATGGAAAGACTACACCTGTCCCTTAGGAGATGACAAATCCAGACTCTTTTAATAGCATTGACCCAAGGTCTGGGTGGATAAACACGTGTCTTCTCTTACTAAACTCTGGCTGTGAGCTATACAGAAATGCAAACGTGCACCACACAAAGGAATTTGGTTCCACTTTTTTCTTCACTCCTGTGGTATCACTATCCCCAGCACTGTACCACTGTACCATGTGTCACTTACCAAACACAAAATCAAGTGCAACCTAAGGAGAAAAACTGCACTTTATACACTTTAAACTTCCTAGAGAGAACAACTTCAGCTTGATTGTTGCATTTTCCCCTCCATAAGTTATGAAAATATCTTTCAACAAGGAATCCAAAATAAGCTATGGTACAACATATAAACTTACTTATAAAGACAAAAAAATCTGAATCAGAGTACTAAACAGTATTAATACAGTAGGATTTTTCTTTACATTATCCGTATGGGACATCAAACTTTTTCTGTGTACATTTCAGCCTCTTATTTCATGAAGGTACAAACTTCCAAACAGCAGGTTCATTTGAAGGTAAGAATTTGAACAAAACCTTCAAATGCTGACAACTTACGGCACATGTACTCAGGAAACACAGTGTACAATTGCAAGGTAAATTAAAATGTGCGAAAACTAAAAATAACTTAAGACTGACACTGCTGATCTACAGTCTCTTTCAGATTGATTTCAGTCATTTATTACTCTCTTTTTATAGACGATCTGGTGGCTCAGGAGAGGCAGGAAATTGTGCGAGATTCAGTGTTCAGCTCAGGGCTGATCCTGCACAGCGAGGAGGAAGCTGAAGAGAGCTGTCACGATGCTGAGACAGTTCAGACCTGGCTCCCAGCCCCGCTCTGTGGCTTAGGCAGCACTTTGGGGCAGACCACACTCTCTTCAGGTGAGGCCTTTGCAGCACCTCGGCCAGGCAAGGTAGTGGGTGGGGTCTGGAGCTCAGTCACTGTCGAATTCCTCTATTGTCAGCTCCTCCTCCTCCATGATGGCCTGGGCTGCCACGGGTTGGGGCTGGCTGCCAGGCAGGTCACTGCCACTGCACTGGCTGGAGGGCAGCAGGAGTCCTTCGGGATCACTGGGATCACTCTCTCCTGTCCTGCTGTTCCCTGGCTCCGGCTCCGCA